GTGTGGGGGTGGGGGTGGGTTTGGGGTTTTTTTTTAGGATACAAGCACCTTTCCGTAATACCTTCACATGAGTCACTCCAGCTCTAGTCCACTGTGCCACAAGAAATACAACAGATAATTTGTTCGTCTTGACAAAATAGAGCCAATCAAATAGCAAGAAAATGGAAAAAAGGCAGATTACTTTCTTTCAAAATTTAATACATCAAATAATTCACTCTATGAAAGAAATACGTATTTGAACCAACTGATTCACGATTTTTTGGATGCCATAAATTAGCCAGCCACAACAGCTGCTGTAACTTCCCTTGGTGGGCACCTGATTACTTTGTCCAAGCGTTCCTGATGTGCCAGGACAGAACAGAAAACTTTGTAAAGTTTCATTTGATACTGACAAAGAAAACGAAGTCTTCCTTTGTCCTAAGCAAGTGCAAGCACCAGAAAACAGTACAGAGCTTTGTGGACAATGGTGTTGGCAGTACACTTGGTTCCATTTCACTCTTTTAGGGACAAAATAACCAGAAGAAATCAAACCTTGAGTGAAAGTGGCAGAGCAAGCAGCTACTTGGCATGAACACAGACTGTGGCAGCAGCACATCACTTGGCATGCTCACAGCATTTTTAAAATGGACAGAGAGGGGTGGCATACCTACAGTGTGATGTTGCCTCAGGTCCCCCACCCCTCAAGACAGGTTTTTCCAAGACAGGCTATGTGATATTGACTCCTTTCTCTGACATGTAAAAGGGGGAACAATACTGAGCAAGACTATGAGGGCAACCAGCTTCTTTCCAAGAGGTTTTCAAACTTCACATTGAGCCCTGATAGCATAAGAAACATGTTGCACGTGACTGACAACATTACTTTAAGTGAACAAAAGGAGGGGCTGTAAAAAATGTCTTTCCTGGACTGCTAGCACTGGGAAAGTTGCCTTTTTCCTCTCTTCATTAGAGTGCAAGAGGTAAGACATCAACATCTATCCCTTTCAGTGTGAGATGTTACAGATCCATTCTCTGAACCCAAAAAGACATAACAAAGGATATATCCTGTAAGGAGCACATGAATTCCATCTGTAACCTAAAATGTGGTCTTGGCAGAGTCCTAAAAAGTCTGGGATTTCCAGGAAAACTGAACCAATATACTGTTGGACCATAAAGAATCTTGTGGTTAAAACAGTGCATAAAAACAACCCACCTGTAAGGACCTCGCCTCAGAATTAGCTCCTGGCAACTGGAAATCAATTTAGCAGGCAGATTTTAAAACCTGAGCTAAGGAACACCAGAAAAAAAACAATACCTCTATTTAGCCTGTTCAAAGTGGGAATGTAACTCACACCCCTCTGCACATGATATGTGGATCTCAAAGTCTTTTGGTAAGAAACTGCTACTAGACCTTAGCTACCTAATCACTGAAACAGAGTGGCTGTCCTTCAAGATGCAGATACTGCTGTGCAGTCTCAATAACAGTCTGGGACACAAGATAAAAATGAACAGAGAAGGGACTGGGCAGCAAATGGAAGTTTTTAGACCAAAAGTGTCCATAAACCAAAAGCTGTATAAATCTGGAAAGAAAGTTCAGATGCCTCCCAACACACTGCAGTGCTGAAGAACACAGCAAGAGGTCCACTTGGTTCTGTGGAATGTAAGAAAAAAGTTTTAGTACTGAAGAACTGAATCTGCAGTTCCCTAAGCAAGAAGCAAGAGCTGGATCAGTGTTGTCAGGTCATTACTGCACTTTAAGCAATCGAAAAGCTTGGAGGCATTAAAAATGGTGTAAAGGTCTCTTAAGAAACAGCATGTAGGCATCTAAATGTGTAGGGTCAGCTTCAGTTACCTGACCTGACAGTTCTGCAAAGAAACAAAGGTGTTACAAAATTACATGTCAGCTACACAGGAGAGTGCTGTTATTTCTTCTACAGACAAGGGTAAGGACTACGAGAAACAAGCAATACCCATCTTTCAGGAGTAATTTAGAATATTATTATCACCATTTGCCCTCATTGTATCTCTCCTGGGAGTTCCTCGTGCTGTAACAGAAATAATAGAGCAAAATATATCAATGCACCTCAACGACACTCAGACAATCCCGGACATCTGTGCATCAGGGAAGAAGAGCCTGAACTGAAAATACTAAGCAGCAAAGCCTCAGGCATGGGTTGGGGCTCTCTCCTGCCAACTTTCCTATGTGTGCTGGTAAACTTCAGCGAAGGGTAGGACAGACAGCTAACATAGGTAATTTTTAAAGCTCCTCAATGAGTTTTCTGTCAGAGAGAGCCTGGCACAAATCCTCTAGATCATTTCCCCTACTCACCCCTTTTGTCAGCTCCCTCACACACTTTCCCTCTTGTTCCTTTCTTTCACTGAGTCAACAAAGAGATAAACTGAACACAAAACATAGCTTTAGAGCTGTTTAGGAATTAAAAGGAAATTCAAAGCCTCCATCAAGCCTGCCCCTAAAGAGAGGCCAGAAGTGAGGACATAACCCCCAGCACAGCTAACGGGCCAAACTTGCATATAAAGCGCAAGATATCAATAAAATTGAAGCAAATATGTACCAGCCTTAAAGACCAACAATAATGGATTCCCCATTCTGATCCTCAGCCACCTTTTCTCTCAGTAAAGCAGTCCAACAGCCCCATTTGTCACAGCAAAGAGGTGGGGGGTACTTTTTACAACTTAGATCGCTTCATCATTTTTCTATGTGTCAGAGCTCCCCTTGTTGGGCATGCAGTAACACCCAGAGGCTATGCGTTATGGTGAATGGTTTAAAGAGTAACAGCAGCAAGTAGTTACCAATTAGAGATTCTTCTGAAAATGACTACTAACCTCCAAAGCTCACTTAAACTAAGGAAATATGTTGTTCCTGCAAGTCTGTGCTAAAAATATAGCACAAAGCCACTGACTCAAAATTATTCCAGCTGCAGTAACGAAAGTGAAAACAGTCATGCCTTCCATACGCTGCTGGTGTGCCTTTTTATCAGTATCCTCATGAACTCACTTCTGAGATAAAACCTGGCATCAGTTTCTTACCACCCTGAACATCCATGTTATAGACTGAACTGCTTTCTCCACGTAGGTATTTAAACAAAAATTAAAAAACCCATAAAGTATTTTATCCACCAAAGAAAATGAGGTATCTGATAACTGCAGCCACTTACAGAACAGCACATGACACCCAAGCGGTGAGTTCATACCCGTGTTAGAGACGCCAAGTTCTCAAACAGTGTTTCAGACAGGTAGGCACATGAAAACGAGAATCTCTTCAGAAACGGCACTCTCACCTCTTGCAATGCTACTTGCTGTAATAAGGCTCAATTCAGCAAGATGGCTGCCAGCAGCATTGACCCAAAAATGGCAACTAAAAAGTAACTGTTTTCCAGTTGCAGAGTAATTTTTGTTGATTCCTATGTGGTAAAAAAAAACCTTTTCTAAAGTAGAAATTTCTTTTTAAAGACACTGTTCACCTCAATCAACTGCAAAATATGCCTCTGAGAACATTACTTCCACCACAAGCTCTACCACAGACACTGAATTCTTGGAAATGACTCAGTAAGACCAAGAAAGTCTAAATTTCAGGAGTTACAAAAGAAAAGAAGAACACAGACAAAGGACAATAAAGGGACAGAAAGAGTCTCTGGCAAGGCCAAAAAGTCACTTCAACTATTACTGAATTCGGTAAATTTTTTAGGTTCTATTTTTACTTTTCTCAAGGGGCCACGAAGGGTCTTGCACACGTGGGCTGGGAGCCGAGAGACCACTATTACCCAAGTCACTTTTGAGGAGCACGAAAGATGATCCTCAGCCTGGAACTGGAAACACAGTGAGACAAGACACCGGAGACGAAAATATAGCTGATTGCCTCAGCTGCCACAGAGTCCAGCCCGGCACAACATGTCTGCCTCTGCTAATGCCAAGTCACTTGCTAGCCCCGGCCCGAGGGCCGCTGCGAGGAGGAGGCCGGGACGTGCCTCTCCCCTTCTCGCTGCCCCGCCAGCCGCTCCAGGGCCTGGAAGACAAAGCCCTCCCTGGCTGAGGCCTAGCCCAGGCGGGACCTGTCTCTT